TCCCTTCCAACCCTTAATCTATGAATCTATGAATCTATGTCTGTTGTTACAAACCGGCTCACTCGCTGCAGGTTAGACTAACCTGCAAAGGTTGAATCAACTCGGGTTTCAATTTTTTAAATGTCTGTCCCTAGTCTTGCAGTCAGCTCAGACTAACCCTGATGCTCAGACCCAGGAACCAGTCACTCCAGTTAACTGTGCAATAAAGATATAACCTTAGGTTAAAAAGAACATCTAGAGCTGCTGCATTTCCAACAGAATTGCAAACTTTCATCCCTTCCATATTAGACTGCCAAGCCTTTTTAGAAACCGGTTTATCAGGACTATAATACAAAACACAAATTCTTATATGCAAGGGAATTTGTGTGCATCAGGGAGGAAGGTGCATTGGTGCAAGGGCCATGCTTACTCTCCTGCCAAAAAGGCCACTTCAGGAGTAAGTGGCTGTAAGTGGAACATTAAAATGATCAAACACTCTGGCAGGTGAAACTCCCAGTCAAAAAAAAAATAAAGTCACAGCCTCCACCTCAAACACATGTCCATGCTGAGGAGTGAGCGGTTAAGCAGCAATTGAGGTAAAGAATAACAGCTTACACAGTGCTGAAAACATGCAGATTAAAGTTAGACATTTTCATCCGTTCTCTCTTTTTTTAAAAAAGTTGAATACTTAACATTTATTTCTGTTTTTCAGTGCAAGTCATAACAGAATAACTTCTCTTCAACAGGGTGGCCAGCCTGCAGCATGTGTACCACATGTGGTATGGGCAGCCCGGGTGGCATGCGGCAGACTGGGGAGAGGATAGGCAGCGCTGTAACTAAACAGAGCCACAGATTGGACAGGGGAGGGGAATCAGAATGGCACTTGGGGAAGGTGTGGAGTTAATTTGTGGTGTACCTGCCAAAAAGGTTGGCCCCTGCTGCTCTTCAGCGACTGGAGTCTGGACTGCATGTCTCTTTCACCACTGATCTTTTTTGACATGTTTGTGTTCATAATGATCATTTCGCAAGAGGCCTGAGTGCCTACTGAAAGCACTCAGAACCCTATTTACACTGAATTGCTGCGAGTTATTTAAAATATGCTTCTTCTTTGTTGGAGAAGGATTTCTGCACATTCAGCATTTTTTTTAGTCACCCACACTTTGTGAAACACCAGAAATACAATATTCAAGAACCATGGACAAACAGTTTCACATTCAGTCGGATACCCACTAGCTAATGAATTCTAATCCTGACTCTTCCACTGACATGAATTTGGGCAGTTATTCTACAAAAAGAAAAAGATGGAGGTCAAGGCAGAAATCAAGTGTTGTGAAGAATGAATAATGTTTACAACCCTCCTTAAACATGTGCAGTACTATATTGTTGAGTGATCATTTTGTACTATCCAAGAGCAGCTGCACTGTCTTGTGAAGAATTCCTACTCCAGCTTGAAGTCTGCATGCTTCTCTAAGTCCAAAAAAGTCAGCTTGGTCTACAGGCTCTCCAAATTTTTCTCAGAATGGCTCATACTGCAACAGTCCTAGAAACACCATCCTAAAAACTGTCATGAGGAAAATATTGTTATCCTCTAATACAACATTGCAGCTGGAAGCAACAACTGGCATGATCCACCCAAACTTTTCTCCAAGTACGTGCTCTTGGAATCTCTGAGCTGATAAACAGGGTAATACTCAAGTTAAGAGAGCCACACAAGCAACAACAATCTGCCAGCCTAGGAGAGCACTTCAAAAGATCATGTAACACCAAAGTATAGGCTGACACTGGATGAACTGTTAAAAGTGTTCCAAGGATGTAAGACTTGGAATATAGTTACTAGTTACCCAATTTATTTTATAGCACTTAACACCATAGCAACTAGGCAGTGCAATCAGAAAAAATAAGACAGACATCAGTTACTTTAACACGCGCTTTGAAATGTCACTTTTAGTCTCTTTACGTCCTTTCAGGTATGAAATGTGACCTGCCAGATTCTGTGCACTGCCCCACGGCTGGAACACTTTCTTTAGACTTGTTAGAATAGTAACTCCAAAACCATTTCTGGCCCTCCAGCAACTCCCCTACTCCCTGCCTCTAACTTGCAGGGAGGAGATTCATTTCCCACATCCAAATAGATAATGGCTGTTTTTTATTTATGAAACACACACATACATCCTTGGGAAGGAATACTAGACACAAACATATCCCCTTGGTATCTACACTTGTTCTTTCAGGGCTACTTTGCCTTGGAGGCACAACTGACTGATGAATGTTGTAAGGAAGAATGCGCAGACAGGGTCAGAATACATCTTATAACCATGTACAATAACAGCACATAACATTTATACACACCCTATACAAATAACAGAATACTGATTTTTGAGTGCTCAGATACCAGTGATGATGGGATCGTCAGAGATATGTAATAATCATTTTGCCGAGAGGTCTATATCACTTTTTCCTGCCAACAGTATTTGGCAGTTCTCAAATATATTCATTGTTAATCACTTTAGTAGATCATTTTTGAGTACTTCCCCTTAAAAAATTTAATTATCACTCATTTTAAAGCCACGTAAATGGATGGGATTACAGCAGAGAATAAAAAGACCAATAATGACAGCAGTGACAAGCAGCTAATGACACGTAAAGCTGAACGCTTACCTAAACTATTTCCTCCACATCCCTGCAAGATCCGTCTGGCCCTGTTTTTAGCATCTTCTGGGAAACTTGGGCTGTCCAACAGATCTGGGTATGTGCATAGCGCCACCACCTGCAATAGTAAAAGTGATGTAAATAGGCCACAACTTTATTTGTTGTTCAAGGCTACTTTTTCTTTAAGTTAATATCACTCTCAGTTTTACTGATTCCTCTCCAATCCCCAAGAAAACTAGATTCTTTGAAAGTAAAGGACAACAGCAGATTAAAAAGAGAGTCAAGCCCTGAAGGTATACCCATAGACCAAAATCTAAATATCTATTTTTCGCAAGAGATCTTGATTTTCCTTTATTAATTATTAGCTAGTCAATGATACAAGCCAAGTAACAGGAGACATGGGGAGGGCAAACAGAACATTTCACGTGTATAAAAGAAAAAAAAAGAGAAAATACTATGGAGGGACAAGCACAAAAAAATGGCTGCAGAGACTCAGCAAGCTGGCTATGAAGTTTTGATGTCTGAGCCAAACAGGTGTCTTTTTACTGTAGTCCTTGCGTAGGGATGACTATTTAAACTTTAAGTAAATGCAACTATTCTTTATTTTACCCTAGCACATAAATTACAAAGCAATCCTCATAATATGATTAAAATAACTGAGTTGTGTATTATGATCAAGCTGAGAGAAGCATGTGTCGTAACCACAAATTACTCTAGCAAATCAGAGTCTCTGAAACTGTGATACTTTATATAGAAGAGACAGATTTAGAAATAATATTATTTCACATTTTAAAAGGTCTTACCTGACGAAGGAAGGTGATGGGCCTCTGTCCCATTGCATGGGCGTCACCAATGTTAGCCTTAATGACCTCAGTAAAAGGCTTTTTGATACCCTGAAGACAGACAATTTATACCATATGGTTTGTTTTAAAGTAGAAAATAGAGATCTTCTTTATATAATTAAGTAGTATAAAAAAAGTATCAGCTTAAAATAGTCTATCATTAAAAGAGTCATAGTTGTAGTGTTCTGAGATGATTCTTATACAGAAATAGTTTCTTTTTACTGTTTTAAGAACCTTAGAGCCCTTTACAAAGAAGGAAGAAGACATGACAACTCATTTTTAATGCAGAGACTCACTGCACTGTCAATGTGTGGGTATATGGTAGATACGCATGTACACACTGTTCTAGTAAATGGATTCAAAGGTGAATGGGGGGTGGGGGGTGGGGGCAGCAGCCAGAGTTTAAGCCCCTTGAGAATTTGCATTTTCTTCATTAAAAACACAGTAAATAATAGATTTGTTTACTTAAGAAAAGATGTGCTTAACTTGCATGAGAAATTTTAAAAAAATCTTTTAGCACATATTTGAAGTAACATGCCAGCTGTAGAAAGAGCTTAGAAAGGTTTCAGGAGTACTTTCAGGCCTTATTTATATAGGCTTTCACCTAAGCCCTAGACAGATGTGCTGCCAACAGTGCCTAGAAATAAAAAGACCCTGTTCTGCACTATGAAACAATCAAAGTTGCACTGTGATTTCTATTCTCTTGTAGCTCAGCTAAGTCAAAAAACTGGATTCCAATAAGGTTTAAAAGGTGACATCAGCTTTTACACCCATTTGGGTCTTGTCTTGCAACAGCCAGTTCAGCCATAAAACCAACCTCACATTACTTCAACAGATTTTGCATGAGGAAGCAGTGAAGTCAGGTCATACAGCAAGAATCAGCTTGGCTGAGACTATCAAATGCAGTTCTCATAAGCACCATTTGCAACTCAGGGGGAAGTCCCAGCATCATCCAAGCATCTGAGTTTAGAGACTCTTATTCTAATGCAGCTAATCACTTCGTTTGGATAGGAATATTGTGAAGGACCAGAAGTAAGCCCTATTTTTATCCACTACACCAGAAACAGTTTTATTTGATTACTGCACATAATCACCCTTCCAAAATATTTTAGAATCTATATGCAAAGCCTCTCATCCTTTCTCTGGAAGAGATCACTATTGAAATAGTTAGTAATCCTGTCCAGGGACCCAGAGAAAGAAAGAATATCCAGAAGCTATAGGGGATTGATGCAAGAATGTGCCTCCTAGTCCTCTCTACCTTCTGGGCCTTCCTTCAGGCCCAGAAGGTAGAGAGGACTAGGCCCTTTATATATGTTTCTGGCTAACTGCCCCTCCAGACTGCGTCTGAAAGCTGTATCTGTGAGGTAGAAAGGATGAAAAGAGCAGGAAGCAGGAAAGGGTGGTTGTTGGGAAAGGCAGCAGAGCAGACAGTTGGAAGACAAAACAAGGAGACAACACACGTACCAAAACCAACTGAAAAACAAAATATTAGTTATTTTGACAATTTATTTGCTGTCTGCTATTGGTTGGTTTTCTTAACTATTTAGATTGCTACCTCTGCATGTACCAGCTGTGCTTTAACATATTAAGAGCTGGTACAGAGCCATGTACAGATAAGGGTCCAGATAGGGGTCTCTAGGTGCTACTATAATTAAAGTGTTACATAATAAAGAAAACAAAAGATATTTCTTGATCTCTGCAGTCTAAACAGCTGGCTATTTTTCTAGCCATACTTTTCCTATGAGAAACTGAACTTCTCCCAAGAAAAAAAGAGAAAGCACTGGAAGAATGCTAACTTGTAATCAGAACTCTCTTTTAAAAAGGAAAAAAAAATACTGTAGAACAGAAAAAAATCTTTAAATGGACTGGTCTGTAAAAGACGAGGAAAAGGTAACTGGCATATACCAGGTAGATGGAAGAGTTAGTTAAACTAAAAGGACAATGTTGGCACAAGAACATATAGAGAGAAACTGGCCAAGAATTCATTTAGATTGTGAATCAGAAGATTTCTAGTCATATAAGAGAGATTCTGGAACGGCTTTCCAACAGGAGAAGAGTGGCCAGAGAGCCAGCTGCTTTTAAGATGGAGCTTAGTTATTTTATGCAAATGATTATACGAACATGCTTTCCTGCTCTGGATGTCCCAAAAGGCCTCTTCAAAGTCCTATGTACCAGTATGTAGAGCATTTTTGTTTTAAACATTTTATTAGAAAACAGATAATATCAAACAGATTTAAAAAACGACCCCAACTGAGGCCTCACAAAGGGAATACAAATACAATTTCAAGAAATTACATAATACTCACATGATAACTGACATCAAATTCACTTTGCTTAAACTACAGTTTTATCCAGCAAACATCTTACCCTTGCTTCTTATATGAATACAGGTTCATGCATTTGATACATAACACAAAAAGTGCTTACAAAAGCCCTCACCCACCCTTCCTGACAACAAATGCTGTCCCTTAGCTTATCCTATACCTATACGGGGCTGAAACAACCCCCTGAAGTCCAGCCCTTGCCAGAACTTTGTATCCCCTCCTTGTGTCCCATTCTTTTCTCTACCTCTATAAAATTGCAGCTCGTGCATTCCTTACTGCAAACACTGTCGTGGAAAAGCACGACTCCTTCACTGCCAACAGGGAACGCACTTTCCATAGTGCTACCTTGGTACACGGGATGAAGACCCTCACTCCCCATGACCCATCCGTCCCTCTGTTAACCCATAGAGAACATTTTCGAGAGTGATCGCCGTTCCCCTTCCCGTCTCCTTCAAATAGGTGGCTACCTTTCCCCACCCCTTACCAGTATGTAGAGCAAGTTATTTTATCGGGATGTAAAAAAGTGTGTTGCTTCGCCCACTAGAATATTAACCAGGAGGTAATCCTATCTGCTTTTGGTCTCCTATCCAGGGTTACGAACTGTTTTTAAGTGAATGTAAAAGAACTCATTGGACAAGAGGCAGCCAGGAGACTGGATATCATCAGATAACATGGTCACCATGAACAGAAATCCTAAAGATCTTTGAAGTGCAGGAGACCCATGGCTACGTGATATGGCTGATTTGTTATACCAGCTGATGCCATTTGAATCCTGTGTTCAGACACTGGCTGAACACAGGACCAATGTGGAAGATGAATGATAGTATTCAAATTTCCTTTGGAATAGAGTAGGTTAATAAAACTGGGCGTAAGAAATGATACAACTGAAAGATCCAAATGTACCCTGACTCAATGGGGTTACACCATGCCTTCTTAAATCAGGTTAAACTAGCACAATAGAAACAATTGTGTTCACTTAAGAAAATAGAAAGTGATCTCCTTTGAGCTTCTCAGCTCAAGCACAGGTATACAGATTTGACAAAAGTGCCTAGAAACACATCTGTCATTGTAAAATTCAGTATGTAGGGTTCGTTAGTGTTATTGGGCTTGGATTGTATACATTACTGTTCTTCAGCAAATTACATTTAGGTCTGAATTGGAGGATTTATTAATAGACTATTTCAAATCATCGGGGGTCCAGAGAACACGGGAATTTTCATTCAGATTTTGATTTGTTAATGCTTTTATTCTAAAAAAAAGTGATACTTTGGGAAAGCTGGGTGGTCACTGTTTAATGTTGTTATTAGCTCTGAGATAGAACAGAAATGCAGGTGCTAAACTAAAGTAACACTCACAAAGATTGTCACAGCAAATTGCAACCTATATGCTAGGTCAAGAGGGAGAGAGGTTCTAGGGATGAGAGGCATACCTGAACCCAAACAAGGACAAACTGCATCAGTAAA